GAACAGTACAATAAAATATTGTTTACTAAAAGTAATAGAAACATAATTGATTTTTTTTACTTTGCGAAGAGAAATTAAGAAAAATAAACAATATTTAAGCATAAATATATACAACCTGATATCAATAATAATTAATGACATAAATCTTTTGATCTATGAATACTATATAGAAAAAATTAGAAAAGCATTTATTATTATGGATGTTTTTAATATTTAAAATAATTTTAAAAAAATATTGTTTAACCACAATAGCATATAAGAAATAATCTATCACACAACAAAGAGGAAGTTAGTCTTTTAAATTCACTATAGAATAATTAGTAGGGTAGCAAAAATTCGTTAATGACAAATTTTTAAATTAAATATTATAATTGCAAAAGCAGAATTTCTTCACATTAAACAAAAAACATTAAAATAGCTAAAAAAAAAAGTAGCACCAATAAGAACTGAAATTCTTAAAATGGTCTTATCTCCGTAACCGCACTTTATAGTGATTGTATATCAAAAGTGCTTAATGGTTACTAATCACAATCATAATATTAATAATTAAGTGGCTAAGTATTCATTTGGCCACCGATAGTAGATCTTGGTTCACATTCTAGATGACTTTCGTATATATTATTAAAAAACCGCAATAGTGCTTCTAGATAGCGTTTCCATAAAAAACGCTATCCAAAAGCACTATAATATATATAAAAATATTATTGGTCATTTTTATTAACTACATAAATGTGTAATTTTAGAAATATATAAAACTACTCTTATAAAAAATAAATAAAAAGATATATACAAAAAACAATATACATATTATATTTTTAAGTAATTAACAAGTGATACGAATGACATGTGACGTACGAAGTGTGACGTAAGAGACGTCTGACATTAACCTTGTCATTAATGTGCACTGATTTATCCGATTTCTTATTTTGGTAAAATCAAAAGTTATAAACAAATATTTATACTTTATGCTTGAACTAATATTAATGTCGCAATTATCATTATCAACCAAGCAAAATAATAGCAAAAATATATATAGATATCGTATATTGATTACATATGTAACTCAAAAAAAATGTACCGGAAGATAGCAATTAAAGACAACTAAAGTAAAGATAAAAATAAAGAGTTTCACTTTACAATACGAAAAAACGAAATCATCTTTGGGGCTTTCCTTTAAAAAAAAAAGTTTGTTGAAGTAATTGTGGGCGTATTTACCGCTTATTTCGTAGAAATGTGAAATTGTTTCCGTGCAAGCCTCACGACTCACACGTACGTCAAGTGAATCATATATCGAAAATGATTAATTCTTTGCGGAAAATATAAACTATATATAAGGATCAATTACGATTTGTTTTCATTTCTTTGTTTTACTTTTAAAAATTGAGTTCAGTTTTGGCTTGAAGCGTCTTTTTCATGATTTATTAAACATGATACAAATTTATACGTCAGAGTATACTTAATAAATTAATATAATTATTTAGCGTTAAATTAATATTACAATATAAAAACAAAAAAAAAAACAGCTTAACTGTATATAAAAATTTATTAACAAAGAAAATCATTGTTTATGTGCAAAAACAGTCTTGAATGACAGCACACGATTTATAATAAAAGTTATAACAAACAAAAGCTGCTACTCTTTACACTTCTAATAATATTATTATTGCTTACTCATATTTAAAATAATAAATAATATTCCTATAACTCATTTCTTTTATACATTTAGATTCACTTCGCCTTCTAATTACGTATATATATTATTTTTTTATAAATAGTCAATAATAGTTTTATTAAAAGTCAGTTAAATTTTATTCTAGTTAAGTTAAGTGCTATTAGCTAGCTCTTGGCTGTTGTTTATTTTTGCTTACAGGTGAAGGCTACGTTAGTCAGTACGTACCGTAAGAACTTAGGCCAAAGCGAAATACACAAGTATGTTTGGTTGTGCATTTTGCTTTGGCTTAAGTTCTTACGGTACGTACCGACTAACTGAGGCTTAACTCTCGAACCACATAGTAACAAAGAACATGAAAACTTGCCTATTCTTTTTTTGTTGTTCTATAAAACCTTTTATCAACTTCAAACAACTCTACTAATAGATGTTAAAAACCCTAATATGCAGGTTCAGTTTCTTTTAAGAATGGAAAAATAACTCCGAGATCTAAAACTCCTTCACATTGTGGTAGTTAGGTTTCTAAATCTTGATCGATTTTGGTTTTTAAAAATAAATTTAAAAAAATAAATAATAATAATAAAAGAATAATAAATTTATTCAACAATCGAATAAAACAAATACTTTTACTAAAATGATTATCTATAAAATGCTGCATTCATCCGACTATTGCAGTTTTAAAATGATAACTCCTAAAGCAAACAGTCCCAACTCTTGTTATTGTTTCGACTTTTATTTATCTCAAAGCTTTCTGATCCTTTAATTTCTTTTAACTCGAAAATATATATATATATATATAATAACAAGCATATATAGCAAACTTAGTTGTGAAGTAATAGTAATGTTCGGATCTACATTTAAAACTACTCATCTATCAAAATAGATATGCGCTTAGCAGTTCCAAGAACGGCCAGGTAGGTTTATGTGCCAGAGGATGTCCTCGCTTTCGACGATCAAGTACGACTCCCCAAAGGAACTACACAAGAATTGAAACATGATATCTCCAACCAATCAAATAAGCATTATGTATATATTATATCATTTTACACTAATATTCCTAGGATTAGACAAAAAAGTCTAGAAACTAATACCAAAGAACCCATACTAATAGTTCAAATACATTAAAACTGTTTAAAGCTTAAAGCATTTTGTATTCCGAGAATGATTGTACTCAAGCATAGTACCAGGTAATATACCAAACAAAATATTACTTTTAACAGATGATGTGTAATTATTCATCCAACTGCATTAAAGATCTTTCAGGCCGCAGTGCATTTCCAGCTTATCCATAATAATATGCATCCAGACATTAAATATTGTTAGAATAAAAAACATATGTAGCAAATATGGTTGCGAGGTTCCAGTAACGACTAGATGGATTTATGTTTTCAAACTAAGCATCAGCCAAAACAGATTATACGAAGATATTCAAATACGCACATTTGTTATACGTATTTCTACAATACAAAATGAAAATAAAATATTAAACAGAATTGCTTTTTAAGTAAATCGAACATTATCGTATAGTAAGAACATTGTTAAAAATTTAAAACGTTCGATCTATAAGTTTTAATTCCAGTATACATGAGAACTGCTCGAGGATTGTCATGCTCAAACAGCTTGAGTAGCTTAATAGTCGAATAGCCTGAAAGTCATACTACCCAAACATTTTGAATCTAGCAAGTATGCAAAAATGAGTACTTCAAATCTTTAGATATATCTATTTTACTAAATATTAAATCCGACTTGCCGACTTGCTATCTAACTTCATTTTCAGAAGCTTAAAAAACCTTACTCATTCCTTCTGATCCTTTAAAACTAGAAATAGAAGGAAAGAATCTGACCAATTTGATTGGTATGAAGCAATACTATTATGACAGCAGTTGTTGTAACAATAATGTAGCCTGAGGATATCTATACAACGGCTGTCATAACAGAAGTTACAAGATACGAATACATGAGTAGATGACATGTTTATATGTGATAAGCTAAGAGTGGTTGTTTGAGATAAGGACTGTGTAAAGGTGCGTATGAATTTTCAAGAGCGACCAGATCTTTATCCCCAAAACTACTTATCAAGTACGACAAACATGTACCACTCTTTACTACCAGCAGGGGTCGAGTCTACGTCCCAGAGCCACTCGTCGCCAACGACGACCAAGTACCGTTCAACACCTCCCAAAGGGACTTCACAACCAGATTCGAGCGTATCACAACAACAACAACAACTACCAGTAGGGGCTATACGAGCAAGAATGTATTTGTTTTATTACTCTAATTGCTTATATTTTTTGAGGTTATGGTCTTGAAAATATTCGGTCTGTGTTTAATAGTTTCACGTATAATTGAAAAAACATTTTGGAATAAAAATAAGCATTTAATATGTAAAAAATTTTAATCCAAATTGAAAATACAAAAGACATAAATTATATATTACTTCGTTAAATACAGTAATACTGGGTATGGATATAATCGTTAAAAAGAAGCTTAAACAAAGGTATTAAATTGTCAAAATGACAACAGGATAATAAATAAACCAAACGGATAAACCAACATACAGCAGCAATAAAATATGTAATGCATCAATAAGACACCTACGTACAGAGACTGCAGGAAAAAGGCACATAAAACAAATACTTAAGTGAATCACACTTCACACTTAAGTTGGCATATAAAAAAATGCATTACTCAAAGCATAATTGAAATTCAGGTTAATTACAATGAAAGTTGCTAAAATTTACAGTTTTAAAAATGCATTTATAATATCAGCAAACAGAGTTAACCACCCACGTGCTCATATTGGCTGGCAGGCAGGCGAGCAGTAGGATTTTACGCTCTTTAAGATATTAAATTGGTTAACCCTTATATGGAAATAAGGAAGTTTATATTAAAGAGGAGGAGAGTCCAAGTGTATAAGATAGAATTTCACTTTCCATAAATGGAAAAGCATTAAAAAAACGCATTTAAAATGTTTAAAAAATTATTACAATGAAATTTGAGTGCGTGTAAATTGTGAGGTTTAAAGAAAAAATATATAAAACTTTAGTATTTAATTGTTGTTTAAGTAAATTCGCAATATTTTAGATTGTTAAGAACAACGAAACTTGGTTACTGTTTCAAAGGAAACAGCAATATCATTAACAACTTGTTTACAGCAATAAAAACTGCATAAGATGAAGCAGCAATTAAGGGAATTTTATAAAATCAATTAAAACGAATAAAATTAAATACAATAAAATTCAAAATTAAGTCAAAAATAAAACATTAAAAAGGTTATTAAGGATTATTAACTACAATTATAATTTTAAAAGTTAGTTCTTTTGCTTTTAACTTACGATGAATCCCTTGAAACGTGTGTACTCTCTTCCGAATCATGTCGTCGCCTTCTAGTTTCAGTACGATTATGTTTTGTACGTGGTCTGCAAATGCATTGAGAATCATAATAAATATTATTATTTATGTAATAAATTATAATGTAATAATACTTACGTTTGAGATGCATCTTTAGCTGGCTGTGGTGTTACCTCTTTAGTATTTGCACGTCTACGTTTGTATCTTTGCCCACAAGGGGTGCGAGCATGTGAATGACGTCTGCGTGTTCTAGGCATCTAAACAACGAATAACAACAAATTATTAACAAAAACCAAAATGCAAATGCAAATGCATTCAAAAATGCATACTCTTAAAATAAATTCTTAATATAAACAAAATTTGCTTAGTATACAACAATATGGCATATTGTGAGACTCTAGACTAAAAGTCTCACAAACAGTTTTCGTATCTTTAAGTTTGCCGTGTATTTTGTGCAATGAGAAGGTTTCTTTTTTAGTTTTACTTTGTGGTAAATTGGAATTACAAACGGAAATCAGTGAAAACAAACAAAACAAATTGGATAGTTTTTTAATATTCATGTAAATGCAAATTCGGGTAAGTGGGGATTCTAATTGTTTAAAAAAATATCTCACCTCACCTCACTACTTAAAAATTATGTGTTCTACAAATTGTTTTTGCATATTACACATAAGTTTCAATTCTAACAAAACTAAGTACTTAAATAATTACAATTTCTATTAAAGATATATATACAATATATATAAGGTACAACATAAAAGTTATAATACCTAAATAAAAGAAATTCAAAAGTTTCAAAATTTGATATATTAGTATAATTGTTTCGCATAGCTTGTGTAAGTAAATACGAGGGCGGTTTGATAAGTCACTGACTTTTTGGATTTCCCGCGCAGTTATTCCAAATACAACAGTGCTGTGCCGTCAGCTGTAATCTAACAGTGGGCAACTTTTTAATTTGGAGCCGTTCAAAGTAGACAACTTCGTGAATTTTTACGAAAATTGAAAAAAGTGAATTTCGTGTGGTGATTAAGCATTACAATTCGTATCCCACGAATTGGAATACGAACTGCTACCCCATCCAGTATATTCTCCTGATTTAGCCCCCTGCGACTATTTTCTGTTTCCAAACCTAAAGAAAAGGCTGGGCGATAAGAGATTTGAGTCGAATGAAGAAGTCATTACCGAAACAAATGGGTATACTGAGAGCTTTGAGAAAACCTATTATTTAGAGGGAATAAGAAAATTAGAAAAATGGAGGACTAAATGAATCAAGCTAAAAGGCGATTATGTAGAAAAATAAAATGTTTATTTGCCGAAAAAAATTTGTTTTATTCAAAAAGTCACTGACTTATCAAACCACCCTCGTATATTCCGGTTGGTAATAAAATTAGAAAATAGTTCCAACAAACCGCATCAGTTGAGTACAACAATCCCATACTGTACAGTAAAGCTTTTTTTTATAAAAAAAAAAAATACAAACAAAAAGTTTAATTTTTTTTTAAATTAAAATTTAAATTTTTAAAATTTTTTTCCGCCTACTTTTCCTACTAATGCCTTGTTTTCACTATATCATTTTAAATGACAATTATAATTGAATGGCGTGTCAAATGCGTTTTTACCATATGACAAGAATGCGAATATGATATGAATACACTGACAATATTTGACATTGAAAATGACATAGTGAAAACGAGGCGTAAAGAAAAGTTGCTTTCTGCTGTCAGATAGATAGTTTAACTGTTTTTTGATTCCTCAGAGAGAATTCATTTTAAAAGCAGTCACTACTTTAAATTTTCAAAATTCATTTAAATCACACACAAATAATTTATAGATTCTTCTCTCTTTTTGAGTTGAGTTTTGACTAATCTATTTCACTTGCTTCTATACTACTAATGAAGTAATATAACTCAAATTGAAACTATAACAACTACGGTCAGATGAAAAATATGCTTGACATCATCAACTCAACAATGCTTGTGTCTAGAAATGCCTCTGTCTTACCATTATACCTTTACACTATTTTTATATTTTTTTTAAATCTCCATTCCTTTCGAATCCGAACGACAGTCACAGTGATAGAAAACATGCCTGTTGCCATACCAATACTACAAAGCGTAAATCTAGAAATAAATATTTTTCTGCCTTAAAACCATTTGAGAATTTCCTTTCTTTATATTCTCGCGAGCTCAACGATAACAACAAGATAACTGACTGAACATCTTATATTACAAACCATCTGAATAAAATGTATCTCTTCAAGCTGACAATGCTGTCTTTGTTTGGGAACAGATGAAAGGACTGGTCATATTGTTTTGTTACTGACCAGTAGGTGCAGCTTAAGTAAGGAGCCATCATCCTTATTTATTATTTCCTCAACGAAGAATATTCTGACTTTCATTTGTAAAATGAAATATCTGTTATACGGCTGGATTCAGTTATAGTACAGAAGATTTAATAGAAACCTAAATCTGACTCTCATATCTATCGTATTTAAAGGAAACCCAAACACAGAATAGTAGACCAAATAAATCAATTTCATACATAATACTCGGTTATCAAAAATACCAGTCTCACTAAGGCGAAACCAAATTATTTAAGCTTTCCATGCAAGGATTTGTGACCGAGCTGTTGTTGTTATATTTGTGACCCATTTAGATCTCAAAAAGAAGCACATGATGGGATGACCAAACATACACATGACAAGGAGGAGAATGAGAAGGAGACTGAGAAAAAGGAGAATGAGGAGAAGAATGAGAAGGAGAAGAATGAGAAGGAGAAGAAGGAGAAGAATGAGGAGGAGAAGGAGGAGAAGAGGGAGACGAAGAAAAGAAGAAGAAAATGAGAAGGAGAAGAATGAGGAAGAGAAGAATGAGGACGAGAAGAATGAGAAGAAGAAGTATAATGAGAATGAAGAAGAGGAGAATGAGAAGGGTAAGAGATAATGGACTAAAAAATAAGAAGACGGATAAATGAGTAGGCCGTATCCATATAAATAAATCTTTATGTGTACATTTAAGCAAGAATATAGATAAACGTCATCGTTTAAGTACAATTGCAAGTAGAGATTTGAGTCATAAATTATAGTAGTTATAGATTTGAGTCATAAATTATAGTAGTTATAGATTTGAGTCATAAATTATAGTAGTTATAGATTTGAGTCATAAATTTATATGTATAACCAAAATTTTGGTTATAATTATATACTTTAGTGACTGCATTTAAGGCTAACATCTAATACAACAGTTATTGATTTGAATTAACTGATTTGAATTAATTTTAAATTTTGAATTTATTCTATATTATTCATATTAATCACACAAATACCTTTATGAATAATGAAAGGAAGAAAGAGGCACAGATGTAATACAGTAAAAACTCTCTTGGGCGAACACTCACTGTCAGCCAATTTTTGAGAGTCCGGGTAAGAGGGGTTTAAGTTGTTCTAAATAATAATAAAAAAAAAATTTGGTTTTAGAAATATTGTCCACTCTAGAAAAATATCCGCTTAACAGGGGTGTCCGTTAGGTGAGTTTTCACTGTATTTGATGTTCATATTGCTCATATAAATACGACTATTTCTTCTCTATTGAAATAAATTTACTTAAATTAACACCAACTATTTATAGCCATAGATTTCCAGTTCCAGGTCTCAGTGAAGAGTTTGGGATATAATCGATCACATCAAGCAGCTTCGCGAATTTCAAAGGCGAATGAGTGAACGCACACAAACACACAATAAACACACAATACACACACATATATACCCTACACTCGTGTTTAACAAAAAATATTTTTGGAAAGATTTTTTTTAAATATTTATTTAACTATCACTAATTCTATTTTTTGCATTTGTATATAAAATAATTTAAATTTATGAATTTAATAAATGAATGACTTAAATTGCAATTTCGAACAGCTGAAAAAAATATCCTTTATTTTGTGTCCGCCATATTAACCTTAAATTGCCTCTAATATTATTTTACCAAAGAAAACATTGCGTGTGAAAAATAAAAAATATTTTCACAAAAAATAAGAAAATAATTTAACAACAAAATAGTGGAACACATGTGCCACACTTTATTTTGTTATTAATAAATACAAAAGGAAAAAATTGCATTTTACTGGATCGATGATCGATGCGCAGACAGGGAGGCGTGCATGCTAAATTTCAGACAAAACAGTGAATTGCACAAAATTTTACTTATTGGCACATGAATATTTCATATTTTCATATTTTATGTAATTAAACACATTTAAATATATTCACAGGTATCTGCTGATAATTTTAATACGCATAAATATACGTGTTTTGTTATTTTTTTTTTTTTTGTCTCACATTCTATGCACAATAGCCATGTTTGTTTGCAAAAGAAATACAACCACATTCGACAATTTAAATATTTTATATTATTTTTTTGTTTGAACTTTTTGTTTAATTACTTACTTTATTATTATTATTATTATTTTAATGAAGCAGAATAAAAATATATAATTTTGTTAATTTGTCAAAAAAAATTAAATCAAAGGTGCAAAAATTTTATCAACACACTCTTATAATGTTGTATTTGTCAGACTGTTTATGACGTCACTTGACAGATTGCGCTTTACACTAAAAAACATTTTAACAACAGATGGCGCATAACAAATATTTCACATATTCACCACGAAATCGTCGTTATGGTGAACTTGGATAAATTACAAATAATAAAATTGGTTTTAATATTAAATTACATTATTGTTATTTAAATAATAATATATAATAATGCATAATATATAATAATGCATAATATATAATAATATATATTAATATGCAATAATATATATTTATATATAATAATATATGATAATATAAAATAATAAAATTGGTTTTAATATTAAATTAAGTTATTATTGTTATTTAAATAATAATATATGTAATAATATATAATATATAATAATGCATAATATATAATATATAATAATGAATAATATATAATATATAATAATATACAATAATATATATTTATATATAATAATATATGATAAAATAAAACAATATATTATAAAATTATATACATAATAATACATTATAGAATATATATTATAATATATTATAATATATAATAATATATTATAACATACAATAATATATTATAATATACAATAATATATTATAATATACAATAATATATTATAATATACAATAATATATAATCTATAATAATAGAATTCTTAATACAAATAAATAAATTATTATATATAATTAAATCGCAACTATTGTACATAATTAGATTATCATTTTTATAAACATATAATTAAATTATTTTTGTATATAACGAATTATTATACATAATAAAAATATTGTTACATATAACGTAATTAATATTGTATAAAACTAACTAATTATTATATATAATGATATTATTTGGATATTTCATATACTTTTATTGTATACTTACATTTTTTAAATATAAAATTTAAAGTAAATGATAAGGGTTATGAAACTATTGCAAAATATTAGCCAAATCCAAAATATCAATACAACTAAAGTATTACCAATTTTCATGCATAGACTATTTGAAATAGTTATTACGCAGGTTATTTATTTCAAAGTTTTTGTAAAAACATAGAGCTATATTAAGCCTTTTCATTTGTAAGCATGTCGCAAAAGAACAATTAAAATAAGCACTTCTTCGATGGCAACTCTGGACAAAATGGAAATTTTATTAGGCTTATGATATGCTTACAAAAGAAAAGGCCTTTTAATAAATCAAATATTTTTTTTAATATAGTCATATATTTGTACAAACAATAATAGCAGTGTCCAGAGTGATCTATAGAAGATGAATATAAAGAAGTAGGAGAAAGCAAGAATAGAACAGAGAGGAACGGAAAGTTGTTATAAGACAGGCCTTAATCCTATAAGTACAGTCACGCAAAATGTCATAAGCATAGAAGTTTAGTATTAAAGTTTAAAATTGAGCTATAGTAGATTATATTAACCCATATAGTGCATGAATATTTAATTAATAAATCTTGGTTACAAATCTCTGTCAATTGCATATATTATGAATCATATAATATAAACATATATACAACATACTTTCGATATATTCTGTATAGCGGTTCTAATACCCTTACATTTTTAAAATAATAAAATAATCAAATACTAAAAATAAAAAATAAAGTTAATGTCTTTTTATACACTAATATTATAAATTAAACAATATTAATATTCCATCATAATTTTTGCAATATTAAAAGAAATTGAAATTTTTATTTTAGAATCAAATCATATAACTAAGATTTTCAATGTTATTTAAATACATTAATAAAACATTTAGAATTAAACAAAATATTCTAAAAAAAAAAGTTTCACTTCCAACACATCGACCATTTCTAAATTCCATTTCCACCATATTTAATCTTACTATCCCTGGCAACCCTACAACAGCTGAATTTAATAGCGTTTATTGTTAACAAAAAAACAAAAAGAAAAAACAAAAGAAAAACGGCGCCCGCAAACAGCCTTCACGCAAGTTTGTTTTCGCTTTGGTTATTGCACAAAAATGCAAAAAACTAATTTTATGCAGTTTTTTCTTTTACATTTATTGTATAACTATGTTCGGCTTCTTACCTCCAATTCTTGGTCTACGTTTAATAAATAATTTGAGGTTTCTGCCGCACTTGGAACTCCAAACAGAGGCGCTGTTAAGGAAAATAATTTGTCCAGAAATTTATAGGCGAAACCTGAAATACGCTTCACAGTACTATTAGCAGCGCTCGTTGTTGTATTGTTCATGGATAAACGCTTTTGTAATTTATATTTTGAAATAATTAGCACAAAACAATACAAAACTTATATGATAACATTTATGTTGCACTTCTACACTGCCTTCTTTAACAAATACTCATGCCACAATAAGAGAGCGAAAAGACGTCTCTTTCCGCGCTGGTACAATGCGACAATAGCGTTGATAAAAAAAAACGTTCAAAACTGTTTAAAAAACAAATATGCTTATGAGTAAACAATTGGTTTTGCTCTCTATAAAGTATATATGAGTGGTCCTTGTCATACCTTTTGATGCGGCAATAACATCTATCTGTCAGTACCTGAAGTCATACTCGCGGTAAAATGTTTTTGTTCCAATTTGAATGCGAGAACAGGGTCGATATATGTATACTTATTATTTTAAAATAATTTTATAAGATTGTAATACATAAAAAACATTTTTTTATTTTGAATAAATCTTAAAGATTAATTTAAAGATATATTCATACATAACAAGTAATTGTATATGTATGTTTAATTGCAAAACACATATATTCAGATAAAAATATATCAATAAAATAATTTCAAAAAATTTTTTTAATAGAATTAAAATCACTAATGTTAAAATATCGTTTATATTATTTATTTTAATTAATTATAATATATAATATAATTGTATTATATATTCAGATAAAAATGTATTAATTAAAATAATTTAAAACAATTTTTTTAATCTAAATAAATTCATCAATGTTAAAATATTTATTTTATTTATTATAATTAATTACAATAAAATAACATCTTAAAACTAAAGTGGGGGAAAGAGCAATAGCTGTCAAAGCTTTCAACTCGGATATTATAAATCAAATTTTATTGCCTAGATTACAAACGTTAATATATTCTTATAAAATATATACTGGTATATTGTGTTTGCTTTTTTATAAAATTATAGAGTATCGATCTTTTAAATATATTTTGGAAGAGAGAACTACACATTTATATATTAAAACTACTCCTTTATCGAATCATGTAAAACCAAAAGCTAATTATCTCATAATATTTTCAAATTAGTATTAATTTTCTACAATTTCTCAAAGTTAGTCAACTCGATTTTGTTAGCGTTAATAATATTACATATGCAATATGGTTTTGTAGGTTTTAACATCATTCAATAAATGAATTATTTAAAATAAACAATTTTGTCTGTTCCAAATAAATTGTGTCTGCTAAATGAACTCTTGATATATGTTAAATACTGACTTTGAGGTATAATAACTGAATACACCATATTTTTCGAAATTGGCGTTTCACCTGGCTGTTAAATAAGTTTATTCTATATGTAAAGCACTTCATTTTTTTCACAAATTGTTTAAATAAACAAGACATATATTAAAAAAATAAACGTTTATTCTTTTCACTAATTAATTCATTATTTAAATAAACAAATCTGAATACAAAAAAAATAAATTCTTTACTCAACTATTTCACCCTATACACAAACCAATTTTTCTGTTTAATAATCTGGCTGTATACATTAAACGGGAAATTCAATCAGAATTCTTATTTAATGTAAAAAATTGTATTCAAAAGAAAAATACATACATAAATATATATACCAAATATGTCCGAACAACAAAACCGTTAAATAAGAAATAAATTCTATACTCAAACTATTTCACCCTATACACAAACCAATTTTTCTTTGTATAATCTTACTGAAGACATTAAACGGTAAATTCGATCAAAATGTTCAAAAGAGTTCAAAATGTTAATGTTCAAAAGAGTATCCAAAAAAAAAATATATATCCATATGTATATATATATGTACCAAAGATATTTGAACAATTTTTTGTATATAGAATTATACAAAACATAAAATCATTTATAAGATATAATGAAAAACGAAAAACTTGGCAACGTTGCTTTCATATTTTATTGTTTTTAAAGTGCTGTTTCATATTCTCAAATATTTTTTCAAATATGATAAAAATAATTTAATTTACGTTAAATTTGAAATTATAGGCGTAAATTGAATTATTTGTGAATTTAACTCTACATTATTTAAATAGTTTATTTAATTATTTCATACAAATTATTTGAATTATTGACATCAATTGCTGATTGTCACTTGGGAACAGTGCTACCAACTTTACCATAATTCAACAAAACGTTATATTTATTTTTAAATAAACAATTATGTAAACTTTAATTATAAATAGAATATTAATTTTTACTTTCATTTCTTATAAAGTATTTTAGTGGAAATATTTATTTTATTTAAGAGATATATAATATTTTATGCATAGTTTATATAAAATATTTATAGTTCCAGTCGTAAAATCTGTTACATACAAACTTACTCCCCCTACATTGAAACTGTGACAAACAAATTCAATGTCAAAAATTTCGCAATATAAGAGTTCATCCCTTAAAATTTTGCTTTTATAACGGTGTTCCGTGCACGTTGGTTCAGTCGGAATTCACTTGTGCGCTTAAACGGTCGTTTTGTTGTGAAGACGACGGTTCAAACATTGTCACTAATAAAAAAAATAAAAAATCATATAAGCTTTAAATTTATATATTAAAATTCACAAAAAATTTTTAAAATTGTGCGTAAGAAAATTCTTAAAGATTTTTAATATAAATAATATTAGTAACAAAATTATTGTTTTATTATTTAGTTTCATTGATGTTTTATTTTCCGCCAGAATTATTTTGCCCACTCCTTTTTTCTTCTACTTTTAACGTAATTCTTATATTTTTAGTTTTGGTACATGTGCGAGAGCAAAAGGCGCGTATTTCTGAATTATGAAACAATGAAGTGCAAGAAGATTTGCACCAAGTAAATTCCAAACCATGACATAACTTTTAATTGTGCAATTAAATAAAACTAAATTCAGTTGAAAATAAACAATAATATTAATAAAATATTCTATACAAAAATAAAGCAAAATAAATTAAAAAGAGTAAGTACCACAATCTGTTTTCCTCTCAATTTCACCCCTTCTGCATGGTTTGAACTGAGTTGCCACACCACACACTACACACAAACGCATGCATAAGCCAACCATCCAACACGTATTCCATCAAACTCAAACTCAATGCAACCTTCACGTAAGCTGGCAAGCAGCATTTTGCATCTGCTTTTGCTTTTATCCTTAAATTCGTAAAAATCGCGTGATTCATTCTGCAGCATTCATTTGGCATGCTTGTTTTAAGCTATCGTCTTTTATTTTGTTCGCTTAGTTTTACTGAATTTACTAAAAATATCTGTGCGCACACACACATAGGCACACACACACACATATTCACATGTAGGCACATGTATAGGAGTTGTACACATGTCGGCGCATATCGACATTGTCCTGAATAACGTTAAATGTGGCACCACGTGCTACTTTCGGAATTGTTACATAAACATTAAATTGAAGAAAATCAAGAGTAAAAAATATATAAAGTTTTAGCTGGAAGCGTGCATTAAAATGAAAAAAAAAAACAAAATAAATAAGAAAAAATGGTGGCACTTTAGTAGTAAATTCATTTCTTGCGTGTTTGACAGTGTGCGCTCAGATGAGGGGGTGTATGTGTTGATAATTAAATTTTGGTACATGGAAATGGTTTGAGCGAGAAAGTAAATATATTGGATTTGGAAAAGAAATAATCTTTTTATGAATTGGATCTTAAACCCATTCTACTCTGCGGAGTTGTGATTGGAATTTACTTTTAGTATTAATAATTTGGGGCACAATTTTATTTTATTTTTTTTTTATTATTTATAAAGAACAAATTAAGATTAATCTTTAAAAGCTTGAAAAAAACTTAAAAGGAACTAACGATTCTATAAAACACATATTTTTGATTAGTTCGAATTACTCTAGCTATCTGCTTGTGTCAATGTATAATAGTTCTGACAGCTCTAAGAACTTGTCCGAGTTCCAAATTTTTCAAGAGGACAAGTCAGGGTCTCCAAGATTATAGATCTTCTTTTAGTTAAAGATGGGCACTGACTCATGGGATGGGTCATAGTTCCCTTTTTATCCTCAGAGTCACAACCGCGACAAAAGTCATTAAAGAGTAGACCCAGTCTCATAGCACCAATACCATAGTGCTGAAAAGGTTCCACCTCAGTTGAAATAACTGATTGGTACGTTTTTTGTACAATTTAGACCAGGTCAAACCAGAGATCTGATAGCAGGATTCATCACCCAAGTTTTGCTTGACTTAAGACCTGAACATTGTCAGAAATTCTACAAATATAATAGAAAAATTGAATGTCTCTTGGTAGGTTGTGGACAAGTACTGAGTCAAGTCATTCAACTAACTTATAGCGCTGAAAGATTCAAATGACCTGTCATGTAACCCTGCTAACAACCTCTACTTTAACTATGGATGTCAATTGGTTGTTGTTATGACAGCTATTGAGTTGTTATACGATCAACTTCTATGAATGTGATAGGACTAGATTTTTTTCTCTTATTTTAATGCTAAGAGATTCAAATGACCCGCTATGTAACTCTGCTAACAGACTCTACTTTAACTAGGGATGCCTCTTGATTGTTGTTATGACAAGTACTGATTTTTCATTCGACCAACTTCTATGAGTGTATCAAGACCAGATTTCTTTCTCGTATGCCTGCCAACAACCTCAACTCTAATAAGAAATATCTCTTGGTTGTTGTCATGACAAGTACTGATTTTTGATTCGACCAATTTCTATGAGTGATCTACGAATAGATTTCTGCTTTGTATTGTAGTGCTGGGAGATTCAAATGACCCGCTATGTAGCTCTGCTAACAACCTCTATTTTAACTAGGGATGTCTCTTGATTGTTGTCATGACAAGTACTGATTTTTCATTCGACCAAGTTCTATGAGTGTATCAAGACTAGATTTCTTTCTCGTATGCCTGCCAAAAACCTCAAGGAATATTTCTTGGTTGTTGTAATAACAAGTACTGATATTTCATTTGATCAACTTCTATGAGAGTTCCAGGACTAGATTTCTTTCTCGTATGCCTGCCAACAACCTCAACTCTAACAAGGAATATCAAATTTTATGAGTGTGTTTGGGGTAGATTTCTTTCCGGTAAGAATTTGTCATTTTCAAGAAAAGATATCTCTAGAGCAAATGGCTGTTTAGTGACCTACTGTGAATCCAAAAACCTTTCAAAAGTCACTTATGGATTTTCATTATTCGATATGCGACATATTCACCAAATGAAAAATAAGCGTTATCACTAAAAAACATACATTGTGTAAAGTTGTCAACTTATTTGTAGTAAGTT